CGCCACCAGCGCCGTGCACGGCGCCGCCTCCGCCAGCAGTAAGCACGGCCCCATGACCGCCTCCGGCGACGGCGCTGCGTCGGCAGCGGGGAGCGGCGGCGGCGCTGTCGGCCAACTTCCTAGCTTTGGTTTGACACGTCGGATCGTGCTGGCCCGGCGGCACAGCGGCGTCGTACTGGGTGACGACTTACTCCGGGTGAGCAAGCAAGCGCGCGAGCGAGCGAGCGAGCGAGTAGAACATGGATGAGTGGCAGGAGCCAGGGCGCGGTCAAGGTTGTGTGTTACGGGCCCCCCCCCGTGTTTTAATTACCCTCCTTTTAACCACGTCCTCAACACATGCACACGCGTGTACCCTTCTCCCCCCAACCTCCTAATCCCTTTTTCGCCCTCCCTCTACCTCGGTGTACGGCACAACAGGAGAAGCGGCTAACAGTGGGGGTCGTGGCCAGCTCGCCGTGTGTGTGTCTCGCCGTCAGCCCCCAGCGCTTCACCATGTGCTGCGACCCCTTGACGCTGCGCCTCTTCCACAAACTGCGTGTGCAGCACTCCGCCACCGCCCTGTTCACGGATTGCCTGCTAACCACGGAACAGCGTGCCGCTCTGGGAGCCATGTTTAAGGAGGTGAGGTGGTGTGTGTGTACGGGTGTACGGGTGTACGGGTGCGCGCGTGTGTGTGTGCGTGTGCGTGTGTGTGTATGTGTATGTCTCGGGGGAGGGGGGGAGGTCTCTCCTCCGCATTCCCCCTCGGGTTTCACCTGTCACGGGGGGGAGAAGAGAGGTAGCTTTTCCTGTTTTCCTGACTCGTCTTCTTTCCAGATCCTCTTGCGTCTCGTCCCGTCCTGCAGGCCGTACTCAGTCAGTCGTACGGTCCATCTGCCCTGAGACGCGAGGAGATGCCTGAGCCTAAAGCCTGGAAGGCTCCCAGCGTGGTAAGTAGGACAAAAACACAGAAACGCGCGCACACACACGCACACGCACACACATGGCACAACATGGCATGCCCTGTGTCCTGTATCATCCCCTTGTGCGGCACAACACGGCTGCGCGATGGCTTTGTTTGGGGGTTGGTTTCGTGGGGGAGTATGGAGGGAAGGTGGGGTCCCCAGAGGCTGTTGGGAAGGAGACCGCCGTCGCCCTCCTCCCCGTCCTCATCTTCCTGACCTCGTCGTCGTCGTCGCCGTCGTCTTCGACGTCGTACAGTGCTATCGGGACAGAGAGCAACGGCCCCCACTACACCGCACCATTTAGACGGGATTCACACATCTCCTTTTAGGAATTTCCTCCTCCTCCTCCTCCTCCTCCGCCGCCGCCGCCGCCGCCTCTTTCCTCCCCCCCGGGGCCCCCCACACACGTACACACACACACACACACGCGCAAGATGGCCCCACAAACGCACACGACGTCACCTAAGCCTCTCGGCCCCCGCACAGCACAGCCCTCGACGCCACTCAACCTTACACAGCCCGCGGCCCCACACCACACCACACCACACCACACCACACCACACCACACCACACCACACCACACCACACCACACCACACCACACCACACCACACCACACCACACCACACC